AACAACAGAAAAAAGTAAAATTAACTGACATCAGGCACAAACTATAAAACTGTCTGAGCCCTCAAATTAATAGTAGTATTCAGTCTTCTTAATGCAGTCAATTGATTAATTGTTGGTTGCTCCCTTCTCTTGTATCTACACTTTACAGCTGTATTTGGTATTGTTTACAGTGATATAAAATGATTCAGAGCCCTATCGATAAACATTCATGGTGGTCACATATGGATCCTAGAAATGCAAATGATTGAGTAGAGGTATTTTCTCTATTCGTGATCAGATTTTTATTTTCATTAAGTGTCATGAAAAATATTTTAAATTATAGCTGCCTCATTGTAGTTAAATGCCATATTCAGTCTAATTGGATATAAAGCTCTGCTAAGACAACAACAAAAATCTCCCCTTGTTATACTGTTTGAACTTTTTCCAACATCACAAGACACTTTACAACAGATATGCAATAGTTTAATAAGAACGTCTGTTGTGCACAGCTATCAGTTAGAATGATGGGAATTTAACTAGTTTTGATAGACAACTAGGTCCTCCTTTTCATCCAAATTCCACTCATGCTGTTTTACAACTCCCTGATGCTATGTTATTAGGCCCTGATCAAAGTTGGAGTAGCTGAGGGGCCCTGGTAACTCATGCCACTACCATAAAAACCTTGCAGGATCTTATGCCAGTGGAAGAAAGGCCTAACAAATTTATTCTACCGTATACCTCTTCCAGTCTGACTTCAGCTTTCCCAAACATAAAATGGATAAGATATTTATATGCCTCAAAGGGAACCCTAGCATTTTACAATTAATTTCCCACAATTCCCTCTTGCATTCATTTACCATAAACAGTTGAACAACCCTTCTGTGGTCTGCCATTCTGGTACCTTCCCGTCCCCCATTAGAATCTGTGCCCAGAGCTGTTGCCCATCTAAGTCTTCCCCTGCCCCCCTCCAGAGTTACAATACTGTGTTTTCTGTGAACAGAAACCTGTTCCACTCACTTTACAGTGGAGATTCCTTCTTGCAACTACCCTTTGGGGACTGCAGTTGAAAATCTGGCCCAAAAAGTGAAAAAGAAGCAACAACTCTGACAGCTTTGTGTATGGCAACTCCATATTAAAAGGTGCAAGCAACTATAGAATATAAGACTGATTGAGACATATCAGGCATAAGTTATAATCTCCAAATGTGTCCAAATGTATTGGAGCAAAGAAGTCAATGAGAAGAAATGCAGAACGTACGTGTGTTTAAGTTTTGGTTTCAATTAACATAATTTTTTTTTAGAAATCGGGTATATCTGTATTCAAATGAATACATGACTAATAATTAAAACCCCAAATCATGGTAAACCACCATGCAATCATTTGCACAATTACCCACTTGATCACCCAACTCCCACCCCCCCCCCCCCAAAAAAAAAACAGACCCAGGAGTGAATGATAAAAATATTATGCATCTTGAATCTATATGACTAAAAAAAGGCCACTAACCTTCGTAACTAAAACAGAATGAGAGTTTTATGCAGATACCACCTACAGCCTATTAATTGTTTATGTACGGAGCTCAAATGTCAAATCCGATTAACAATAGCATGAATAATGACCTCCATCTTCAAACAACAGATATGGAAATAGTAGTTGTCATGATGATATGGTTGTCATGATAGCCCAAGAATTATGTGAGAGACAGGAATAATTTTGAGTAATATATTTTATTGAAGCAGCTGCATATTTGGGATTGGTAGACAAGTTTTGATTGCAAGGTACTCTTCCTCAGGTCTGGGGAAGGAAGCAAAAATGTTGATTGTTAAGAACAGTGGTAGAGCTCTGAAATTGGAAGGGAAGAAATTCCCAGGGGTAGCAAACAAATAATTAGTAGAAGAAAAGACATCTGATTATTAGGAGATCAAGACCTATCAAAAGGGAAGAGGGTCCTTTTCAACTGGAGAGTTTAGGAAGAATTTTTGGACCCAAATCAAACTTCTCTAGCAGGCTGTTGTCATCCTTTCTCTGTTGTACAGCTGTGAAACTTGGAAAACATATCAGAAATAACTAGAAGCTTTGAAACATTATCATAAATGATATCTTCAGAAACCCTCCACATGAATTGGAAGGCCAGAAGAACAAAGGCCAGGATTCTGGCTCAAGCATTGAGCCAGCATTGAAGCCACATTTATGTAGCACCTGCTCTGTAAAACAGGACATGCCATAAGGATGCCTGACAAAATTGTTCCAAAAGCAGGTCCTATACTCCTAACTCACTTACGGTCACCACTCTAGGGGTAGGCAAAAGACAAGATCCAAGGACACCATGAAAGCCAAACTAAAGAAATGCAGTATTGACATCAATACTTGGGAGATGCAACCACTGAACTGGATCCAATGTGATGTACTACAAGACATCAATCATTACAAACAAATGTCTCATTGTGGAGGCAGATAGATGACAGGGACAAAGGGAAAGGGCTGTGATCTGAGATTACCAGGATCTACTCCTTACTTCTGGAACTATTTGCCATGTCTGCAGTTGAACATGTGGATCTCAGATCAGTCTCCTCAGTCATCTATGGACTCACTGATGCCTTCACTGGAAGTACTGGAAGACTGTAATCCTCATACCAAGGGACTGCCACTGATGGTATTATAGTGTGTCATATAATCAATACTGATGTTCAGTCTTTGGTGCCTAGTGTCCAGCCAGCTTATTAATCTTTGTTCCCAAACTCACCTTTTAAAGTTGTTTGGTAGATTTCCCTTGAGCACAAGGGTAGTAAGGTCAGAAAGGCAGTGGTTGCTGTGAAAAATGTGCTTCTACTGACATGTGTATATCTCTGTCCTTCACATTTTTTTCTGTGAGAGTTCATTCTGGTGTGTTGCTGCTGTTTAGTTTCATCATGTAGTTACCATGAGGCATTTGTTGCATTGGATCAGATAAATCACTTTTTAAGAAACGCATATGTAGGATCTATGGATGTTGATGTGTTCATTGTGGAGGTGTGGATATGGAAATACATTCAGGTGAAATTTTACTTTCAGACATATTCCATCTTCTAATATGCAATACGTACAAGTCAATCCATATAAAGTGACAAAAAGCAAGCAGATGGAATAGAGAGACACTCCATATAACCTCCCAAGAAATAGGATTTTTCAGACCAAAAGTTGCTAGTAAATACTTTAAGGCACCCAGCAAGTACAAGCTAATAGAGATTATGCATGAGTAATTGAGAAATATTATGCATATACTCGCATTGTATTAGTGTTCCAGTATGCTTTTATAGCAAGCAATTTTGGACCTCCCTCTCCCTTCCACATATATTCACTTCTTAAATTGTTAACAAAACTGTAGTTTCATGCCTTTCATACCAACTAAAGATTAATGTGGAATCAACTTCAAACTGGTGAAATTTTAAGGTTGCATAAATTATTCTTACAAAGAACTTAAAAAAAAAACATATAAGAAATATCACACAAAAGTATTGTAGAAGCTCCCTTCATCATTATATATGTTCAAATCAGAATTTGGGGAATCAAGTGGGAAACAAGTTGTTTTATTGTTACAATGTGACAGACACTAAACTGAAATATTCCTTCTTGTGATTACAACATAGACAAAGCATTACTGAATCTTCACATGCACACATACAAGGGACAAAGGAAACATCAATGTTAATTTCATCAAATTGGAACAGTTTCACAAAACAAGTTTAGATTTTTTAAAGAATATTGTTACAAATATTTTAGAAAAAAAACTAATTAATTTTGGGATTAGGAACAGAAATGTCATTCACACCTTGTGCTATAATTAGCAGAAATAAAAGCAAGAACTGACAAAAATATCTCCACTTGTTAAAAATTTTTACAATCCTACATTCAAACATCTGAGGTATGCTTACCCTTTTATGTTTTTAATACAATGCATTTCTCTTATTTTATACTTCCTTAGAGTTCTTATTTTACATTATTAACCGTGCTAAGAATGTATATTCTTAGCTTCCACAATCAAGCTTGGTCTGTTCAAGCTTCACAAGGATAGATGTTAAAAAATATTCTTATTATTATTTTATTAACACTAAGCTTCTACAACTCATAGCACAATTGACTGGATGAAAACTGAAGTATGCCTTACCCATTTAAATGCTCCAAACTGGAACCCAATATGGGTATCCTGGCTCTTTAGAACAATAATTAGATTCATGGAAAGGCATGTTTTTACTGGGAAAATACAAATTAAGAAATATATTCATTGTCATGGCTCTGTGAACATAATATTGAATGTGCCTTTGTTTTCAGTATGGACAAGGGCAGTCTTGTTTAAAAATGCATTGCTTAGTGGTTAATACTCTCACCTCTGTACTTTTCAAATCTAATCGTATTGTTAACCATGCTTTTTGTTGTGTTTTTTTTAATGTTACCACCTCCTTTTCATACTACATTAAAGATTCTGTTAATTACTATATTAATTCAAATATTTCCCGTTTCAGCACAGATGTACACGCTCATGGTCAGTAGGGGAGTGAAAAGGTAGACAGTTCAATGAGCATGATCTGACTAACTCTAAGATCCTGCTTTCTCCAAGTTCATGGAGCAGATATTAAAGCAACCTTTGAAACAGCTATGCCGTCTGTCCTCTACAAGAGAAAGAAAGATGATGCTTTGATATTAGAGGGATGGATAAAAGGAAAGAAGGAATATGTCAACCAGATTGCTCGTATCTATACTCATACGGGCAAATAAAACATTGCCCATATCTATACTCATCGTATATGAGAAAAGCTCTTATTCATTTGCAAATGACTGTGTAACTCACCTGATCAAAATAAAATATGACAAAGGACAAGAGCAAAAGTTATAAAAGGAAACACCAATTTCAATTCTCCTTTGTCTCACTCAAAACATTCAGTAAAGGATTTCATTAACCTACAGCATGGTATTTTGACATTTGGAACTGAAATCCACGCAATAAAACACTTAAAAAAATAAAGATCTTGAAATCCACTACATACCTGATGAGATGTCTATTCTATTCTTCTTGACTTGGGTGACATTGATGTGGACACTGACTTTGCCTTCAGTCAAGTCAATCTCGACATTACCCAGTCTGTCAGCAAAGTTGCTGAACAGAAGAAGTCCATTTGGGTTCCAGGTTCTGAACTGGAAACTGACTGAAAACAGATCCTGACTTGGGCGACCAGGAACCTCCAGGTAACTGGTAGCATTGAAAAAGACAGGCACTGTATGTGGTTCCACACAAGAAAAACTTAAATTTCCCTAAATAAAAACACAAAAAGTGAAAGCCATAAGTAAAACAATAATAAGACTCTTCTAAATATATAAATACTTCTAAAAAAGAAGTGGACTTTCAAAGTCTAAACTTAATTCTATTTTGTACCCCCAGTGAACTTAAGAGAAATTGTATTCAAAGATCAAACATCATCATCACCATATTGCCTTGAGGCTCACACCGAAACAGCACTCTAATTGCACTGGTCATTTTCTCTGTATTGGGTAAAAAAAAGTCTTTGGCTTGACAGGTTACATTTTAATTAGGCAAGACAGACAGAATGTGGGAGTTGGAAAATATTACTGGTTCCAGTTTACAAATGTTCAAATGAGGATCAAAGTGCTTGTTTCTTGTCACTAAGGAAAACTGTGAAAGAGCTGAGAGTGAACCCAATACTTTAGCTGAGGAACAACATTTTCTTCAAATGTAAAATATGGCCCTCTGAGCATCAGATTCCAAAGCATCTAAAGTAGCTTTTGGATGGAAGATTGTATTATAGTGTAATAGACTGGCTTCTCTGTTATGTTTTCTGATGGATAATTCTGGATAAGTTAGTACTTTACTTCACAAAGCTGAGGGATTTAAGAGTGACAGCTCATGAACTATTCCTAATGGTTGTGGTTAGCTGATTATTTTCTCTGTATATAAGCAGTCTCAAGCTTCACTCTACTCTCAGCCCCCAGTGTAAATCAGGGTAACTCTACTGATTTCAGTAGTTAGAAATGACATTCATGATTGTAAATAAAATTATAACTGAGTCTGTGAAATACCTTAAATAATCTAACGTCTTGTGTAATTTCTCATAAAAACTTTTACTGAAGGGTGGCACCACAAAAAAATAATTAGTTCTCTATAGTTCAAGAAATAGTTATAGTACCTATAGTACTAATAACCTATAGTTATAGTACTTGAAAATGCACTAACAGCCACTAATGCATTATGCTCTCTTTAGCAGAGCTATGGACTATATTAGAGCTGTTCCCGTATAGTAGAGCAACAACATGACATCCTGTAGGCCTCATACACGTTACACCTAATGCATGATTAACCAGTTTAACATGCCTTGATGATCACCCAGCCACACGTTCAATCAATTAATGGCATGATAAAAAGCTACAAAGTAATTCCACAATATGTATGTAATAATATTGTAGCTGCTTCCTATTATACCATTAATTGAATATGTGGCTGAGGCCCCTGTGGCTGGCAGCCCCATCAGCTGATTGGAGCTCCCAGCTAGGGGTGTGGAGGGAGGGGCAATGTGCAGTGCTGAGCCTGGGAGCTCCTAGCTGACAGGGCTCCCAGACACACCTCCAGCTGCTGTGATCTCCCAGATGCAGGGTCATTCCATGCATCCCTGTGGCTGGGGGCCCCATCACCTAAGGGGGCTCCCAGCTATAGCAGCTTCCTTCCTGCCAGTGTATGGGGAACCCAGGATTGGGTTCCCCCTGCACTAGCAACAAGGCATGATGGGATCTGATTTGTGATCCACAATCATGCTTCCTGCCATGCATGTGTGGCATGGCAGGAGGGGCTATTGTGTGGATCATGCATTAGAGTCCCTCGTGCCTTTACCTGCACGTGTAGAGGGGCCTGTAGTCATATATCACAAGACAAGCTGGACCTATATCCTTTGCTTGTCCTCTTGTTTTTTTTCCCGGGCAAACATTGACCATGGATAAGCAAAACTTCCCTTATTTCCAATTTTTCAATGCCAAATGTAAATTAAAAAGTAAACAGGCCCTTGGCATTTGATTACCATTGGAATTGTCTGTCCAATTGGAAAAGTGTAGTTTCCATAGATGCATTCTACATATCAAACTCTACATTGTATATAGTGCAAGAAAATCATATTGCCCAACATCCTACCTCTAGAGAGCAGTATAACATATTAGTATCTTAAGTATTTAGCCATCAGCTGGTTAGAATGGTGAAGAGAGAGGAGTTAACTGTATGGCACCCTGAACTTAATAAAAGTGTTTATGCTGAGCATGTAAAAGATTTGTATCTGTCTTTATAATAATCCCAGTAATACAACAATGTCCTTTTAAAACACATTTGCAGTGTCCACTGAAAATGTAAAAAATTTAGTGGCTTCCTAAATTGAAGTTATAAGAATTTGGTTTTTTACTAACACTGTGAATGAAAAACATGCTAATCACTTTACTGGAAAAGGAAAACAGCTTTCTTAAATATTTTGTGACAAGAGTTTTGCAGTCATTGTGGATTTTTGTGGAGATTTCCGGTTACACATTACAAGTAGACTACAGTGAAGGCACTTAAAAAGCCAGTGTCCACACATTAAGGTTCCTTAACAAGTGTAACACTATTTCAGGTGAGGATTAGCTTTAAATCTTGTTACCTAGCCCAAGTTGAGGGGGAAACAAGTGGGAGGGGGCATGGTGGTAGGGGGCATAGGGGGAGGAGTTGGGTGGGGAGCTACCAGGATGCTGTGGGAGGGTGAGGATTAGCAGCTCCCTGTGTGTCTGACAACACCACACTGCTCCTACCAGGCCCCTCAACTGGCTAACAGCTCCCCATGGAGGAAGAGGGGGAATCGAGGGCAGGGGACAAGGGTGGCAAAAAAGCTCCTGGACTGCTGTGTCAACATTGACATTGCTGCAGTGAGTGAGATCCAGCAAACAGGAGATGTGCATCTCAAAGAACAAGGAGGTGGCTATACCCTCTTCTGGAAGAATAAGTAGGAAGGAGAACACTGACTTCACAGTTTATTCTTTCCCATTAAGAATGAACACATACGACAACTCAAAGAGGTCTCTATCAGAATTAATAAGTGCCTCATGACTCTCTGTCTCAAATTGGCAGGGAGCCAATATGCCACTGCTATCATTACATATATCCTGACTCTTGATGTCACCAATGAAACCAGGGAATAATTCTATGCCAACTTTGACCACGGCCTTTCTGATTTTCCAGAATGAGACAGGCTTGTCAATGCCAAAGTCAGGAAGGACTACAACCTCTGGAACTGAATTATCGTCAAGAAAGGAGTGAGAAAGGCTAACTCCAATGGCATCTTTCTCTTGCCCAAATGTGCAGAACATGGACTCACCATCACCAACACCCTGTTTCACCAGAAATACAGGTAGAAGACATCACAGCAGCACCCATCATGTAAGCATTGGCACTTGATTGACTACATGATTGTCCATGCCAAGGACAGCAAAGATAGCATCATCCAAGCTATGCTGGGAGTTGACAATTGCTGGACTGATCACCGACTCAACTGCTCAGTTATGTCACTCAAACAATGGCTGCAGTACAATTGATTCCAATGGAAGGTCAACATTGAAGGACTCAAGGGTCTAAGCAAACAAGACCTCTTCCATCAGCGCTTCAATGAAAAACTGGTGAATTCAAATCAACAACAATAGGAGAATATCAGCAGTGCTTGGAGTGCCTTTAAGTCCACCATCATCAGTGCCTGTGAAGAGACACTTGCATTCTCTACCAGGAAACAGCAAGACTGGTTTGATGAGCATGACCAGGAGATCCAACAGTTGATTGACTAGAAGTAGAAGGCCTTTTGTGATTGGCAGAACAACACTGACAGCAAGCAAAATAAATTGAATCACCAAGAAGCCAAGGAAGAGGTCTAATGGAGGACCCTTAACATGAAGAACAGAGAGTAGGAAGACAAGGTGAAGGAGATTCAACATCTCACTAAAATCCATGATATCCATGTTCTTTTTTGACGCCACCAAAGCCACCTATGGTCTGAGCTCTCAGAGACCAACCCCCTTGAGACCTAAGGATGGAGGATGGCTGATCAAGGAAAGGAGGGCCATCAACACCAGTTGGAAGGAACATTCTGAAGACCTTTCCAATCAAGTCTCTATTGTTGACAAGAGTGTTCTCAATTCTATCCCACAACACCCAGTTAGAGACAATCTCAGAATCCTTACAACCCTTAATGAGGTGAGGAAAACCATCTAGCAGATGAATACCACCAAGACATCTGGAGCAGATGGAATCCCTGCCAAAATCTTCAAGCAGGTGGGATAGGAACTTACATCACAGCTCAATGCCCTCATCTTAAGGCATAGATGAGGAAATCCCAGATGACCCCAGGGGTGCCATGATAATGACCATCTTCAACACAGGAGACAGGTCTGACTGAATATTACAGAGGGATTGCCTTGCTTTCCACCACAGGAAAGATCATTGCATGAACTCTCCTGAACCATCTCCTTCCATTTGTTGAAGAGCTCCTCCTGGAATCTCAGTGTGGATTTAGGGCATCAAGAAGCTCAACTTGACATGATCTTCACTGCTTACCAGCTGCAGGAAAAATGCCAGGAACAACATAAACCTCTCTATATGGCCTTCTTTGACCTCATGAAACCCTTGGACTCTGTCAACTGAGAAGTGCTGTGGAAGATCCTTCTGAAGTACAGATGTCTATCTAAATTCATCACAATTCTTCACCTGCCCCATGACAGTATGTAAGTGGTGGTTCCCAGTAATGGATCTATCACAGATCACTTTGAGGTTAAGGAGTTAAGCAAAGCTGTGTCATTGCACCAACATTCTTTACTGTGATGCTACATCTGACCATCAATTCAGTGGAGCTAAGCTACCAAATGGATGGTAAACTGCTTAATCTCAGATGACCAAGCCAAAACCAAGACTAACCCAACCTCAATCATTAAACTCAGGTACAATGATAATGCTGTAGTGCGTGCTCACTTGGAAGTAGACATCTTTACTGAGGTATAAAAGAAAATGGGATTGATGCTTAACATTCAGAAGACTAAGGTCCTCCATCAACAAGCTCTTAATGAGCAGTCTGGTCATTCAAATTTATGGTGAGACTGGAGAACGTTGAGTATTTCCCATACCATTTTGTGCAGAAGACTGATATTGATGAAGAAATCCAATATTGCCTCAAACGTGCAAGTGCAGCCTTCAGATGCCTGAGGAAACAGGGGTTTGACATCAGCTTTGAAATCAAGCTCATGGTTTA